AGAAATAGCAAAAAAAACTTGGGTACTCAGATAACAAAGTAATAAATTCTTTCGATATTTCATAATTCATTCATATCTAATATTAATTATTAATATTAATATTAATTATTAAGATTGTATCTAAAATCTAAAATTTTAATGTTACTCGAAAAAAAAAAAAATAATTCGTTTTATTTATATTTATATTTGTTTTTTCCACATGGTGTTTTCACGCATAAAAAGAAAATAAAATTTTTGGTAATATGTCCACCCAGGTTAATTAGGTTAATTTTATATTTTTCAATATCACCTGATTTTCAACAATTCTTCTTTCTAACCGGCCAAGAACTTAAATAAAATCTTAGTTCACGAAAAAACTTTTCAGATGGTACTAGGCTTGCCGGTATTATTATTATTACTATTATTACTATGTTATATCCTGTCATTATTACTATTTAATAGTTTGAAGGTTTATTCTAATTATTCATTATGAATTTGAGTGTTCGAATTGCATTGAAAGTTTATTCTAATAATTAGAATAATAATAATTCGAATAATTCGAATAGTAATTAGTATTAGGATAAATTAGAATAATTCGAATAATTAGAATAAGACTAATGATAATAATAATTCATAAACTAATTTGAATAAAGCGAGTGATTCGAATAAAACGAATAATTTGAATAAAACGAAAATTCGAATAATTATAAAACGAATAATTTGAACAAGAATTTGTATTACGAATAGAAACTCTATTAATATTACTATTACCCTGTTACGAGTATTGTTTTTGTTTTTGTTTTTTAGCAAATGTAAGTTTTTTGTTATTATAAGTAACGCAGATAAATCCATCTCAAATAAGTTTCTATGCTACTGAGTTCTGCACTAAAATTACAGACGTAAACATGAATGTTAAGAGAAATTTTTTTTTAGGCGGCCTGGTCGGCCGAGCCGTTTAAAAATTCCTTAGCCGGCTCACATTACTACTTCTTTCCTCGAGTAAGTTTATGAATAAATAATAATACTACAATCCATAATATTTATATTTTTGTCTTATTTTAATATGGATTTGACTGGAAATTAAACTAATGAATGTGATGTAAACACTACAGCTGTTGAGTTATCCAACAAAGAATTTCTGTTGGATCCGATAACGAAGACTTGGAAAAAATTCCGCTGATTCACTTAATACGACAAATTCTCTTGAAACTAATTTCATTAGTGATTTCATATTCCTACAAATCAAGGATCGGATGATACTCAAAGGCAATAAATACAGAACTTTCAACATAAATTTGGTATTATTTATTTAAACAACTTCGTCAGGAAAGCCAGCTTTGATGACGATATTATAGATATAGCAAATAAACAACAATTAGAATTAGAATTACGAAAGCTATCCCGATTCAATACAAAAGAAATAATTAAAGTTGATGTACATATTACAAAATTTAAAATCAAAAAACATATTTGGTAATATTTTCATTATTTATTATTTATAATGCATGCGAGCATTTTAATTATCCATGTAATGGTTTTTTATTCAAATTACTAAAAAAAAATTTCCCATCATTCTAAAAGATAAAGTATTGGTTAAAGTTTTTGTTACACAAAATTTTTTGGTAAATCGTAATGGTGGGTGCACGACTTTTTGCGCCACGATGCCAATTTTGGTTGGTCATGTGATATTTCCTAGTCATTTCATAATAATAAATAGTAATAGTAATAGTAATAGTTGTAGTAAAAAATTTCTTTGATCAACGCAAGAGTCTATTTTATTAATGAAATTTAGCTGTTTGTTGTATCTTTTTATATAAAGAAATAAATTCTCTTTTTATTCATCTGTGCAATTCACGTGATAAAAGATCTGCAATATAAGGAAAAACTTCAAATTTTTATTTTGTTTCAATTCGTTTATTTTTGATATTAACTTTTCTGTGTGCGACGCGCTAATTTAGACCGAACATAGTAAATTCAGCAAACTCGTGCAACTTTGAGGCTCAAATTCTCTACAAAAACATGACATATCAACAAAATGAAACTGTAACTTTGTAGAGAAATGTCTTGGCTTCAAAACACGGATCATTTTTTAGCGTTACATTTCCATTTTTGAAGAATTTGAAAGATCTACATGACCAATAAAAAGTTGCGGGACCAAGTGACTTTTGTAACTGGGTCAAATTCATACAATGCAGATCAGCTATACTCAAAAGCTATTAATAATAATATTACTAAAACTATTGGTAATAATGTTGGTAGTAATAATCCTTCAATATTTGTAATAGATCATAGTGGCAATAACAGTAATTGTTTTACCTCTTTATCAACTCCTAATACACCAACACTTCACCCTTCAGAACAAATTAATAACGATATTAGTAATAATGGCAACATTAACTCTAGTAATTCTCTGTCACCATCATCAACGTTATCAAATCAAACACATCATAAAGGCCATTCACGTAAAAGATCGTTATCAGCTCCTACTGCACCTCTTCCATCATCAGAAATACAAGATAGTTTTGTTGTTCCATCATCATCATTATATCATCATCATCATCATCATCATCAACAACAACAACCACAACAACAACAACAATATTACAACTATCAAAATCACGTTTATCAACAACAACAGCATTGTCCAAATTATTCATCATTTATTATTAGAAAACCAAATGTTTTAGTTCCAATTCAACGAAATCCAAAACATTCGTCACAATCATCACAACCACCAATGTCTTCCGAGGAATATCAACGTAAACTGAATGAAGAATTGGAAAAAGTTGACTTTAATGACATTACTGTCAGTGAACTTAAAGATTTGTTAAGACAACGTAATAAACCTGCTACTGGCAAAAAAGCTATTCTTATGAAAAGACTTCAAGAAGAAATCAAATTGGTTAAAGCCATGAAGAATAATAAGGGTGGAGCTGGTATTGATGGTAAAGATGCTAATAATAATACTGATTTTAACAATGCTGGTGATATTAATGTTATCAATAATGGTATCAGAAATAATGTTAATGTTACAAATAATCATACCAGTATTGGTAATAATGATAATAATGGATTTGATCAGCAACAGCAACAACCATATCAACCAATGACTACATCTCCAACAATTACTAATAATGGAATGCTCAATTATTATGATGTAATGACAAGTAATAATACTATGACAAGTGATTGTTTTTCTTCATTATTACAACAACTAAATATTCATGATCCTAACAATGCAATTTCTCACCAAGGTCTTTTCTTTCAAGATCATCCAATGTCTGCTCCTGCTACTAAAACAGAATTCTTTGTTTCTTTAGGAGATAATAATGTCATTACTGCTGACAATGATGATGATATTGTTATTAAGGATGAAGAAATGAGTAATGTAAATAATCCTGGTAGTGTTACTGCTATAATTGATTATGATGTTTACCATCAACAACCTTCATCTGCTCCTCCAATGATGACAGAATTCAATAATAATTATGAGTTTATAAATCATCAAATACACAATAAATCTTCATTGTCAATTATGGATGATGGTAATGATGACAGCCAAATGATGATGTCTGATGATCCCACTTCATCTGCATCAACAACCTCACTATTAAATGATCAATTAGTAGCTAATGGAATGTTTGTTTCTTCTCCTCACCAACATCATTATAATGAGGAGGCTTATCAAATTATTTTTAATCAAAATCAACAACAACAAATACAACAAGATGATGAAGATATGATGTTTATTAAAACCGAAGGTATTTGTTTGTTTAAAAATATAATTATTTTCATTTTTTTTGGAAGAAATTTTATTTATTTGTTTTAATTTATTCTTATTAATTTAGAAGAAAATCTTTTACTATTTCCCAGACTTTAACTCAACAACCAATGCAGATTGGAGACATTTGTCATTTTTGTATCAATTGGCATGGTTGGGAGATATAGTTGAAGTTGGTAACTGAATTGAATATTGATAAGTT